ATTTAGACATCATGATTTGGTACTTGTAATTAATTGTTATGGGTTTTTGTGGAAATATTGTAATGTTTTTAAGCACAATTTATTTATTACTTCCAGATTTTGCAAATGCAACTCAGTCTCAATTAGCATCTTCATCTGTGCCTATAGGGATCAAGAGATCTCATCAGTGCCCTTTGAAAGGGTTGCATTCTAATGGTTAGTCGTTGGAAATTTGGATATAATACATAATTATTATGGATAACATTTAAGGCTGTTAGGAACCTATATGGAATCCATCAATGTTGGTCTTATAGATGCGTGGATTTATGTCTTCTTTCAAAAGCAAGTCTGTCTTTTCATTGTTTTGGAGAGCATTTGTATTTGAACTGAAACCTATGAGGGAGATAGCATGTTTTAGTTACTTGCTACTAACATATTCCTTGTTGTGGTAAATTTGACTTCGCTCATAACTTCAAGTGTTTCTCAAACTATGCAGCTATAGCTCGCAGGACTTTTTGTTTCCTCCTGAGTATTGAAGAATAAGTTCGTGTAATGGCAGTAGTACACTGCGAAGCACAAGTAGATTTAATTTTATGTTTTATCTTTGAGTTGCATGAGTGATGTTGTGGCTATAAGTTATGCCTGTAGTTATATCTTGTGATTCTGCTTTTCATTGGTCTAGTTGTATATTCTTCTGTACCGATCTGTCCGTCCCTACAGTTTCAACGTTTATTATCAATTGAGTTAGTATGTAGCTTCATAGCATTCTTATAATAGTTTCTTCACTGTTATTTGTTGTCTGGATTACACAAATTGTGAAAAGAAAACATGACTAAAGAAAATTTGTTAGAGAGAAATCTGCTAAAAACTCTCAATTTAGTCCACTTTTTTTTTTTTTTCCGTAAATGTATTGTTACTTTCTGCTGCTATTGCATCTCTTTTAATGCGAGAAAATTATCTTTCAGAACTCTGTTTAAACTGCTGCTGAATTACACTGATATTTATTTGTTCAGAGTTGGCATTTGACTCATGGTAGCTGTATTCTTACGTAGGGATGTTCTTCGCTGGGGAAAGAATATCATCTCTGCTAAAACACGGACAAAAAAACGAGCTGGTACAGCAGTTTACAATAGAGCATCTTCGCTAGAAACACTGTCAGTACCCTGTACCTTCTTTTTTTCTTGCAATAGTATTTGTTACATTTAAGAATGCATTAGTTTTACTATGGGTTCCGTTAATTGTATGCCTTAACTGTTCTGTACACGGTTGGTTATTTGTACCTGACAAATCAAAACGCTTCGAAGAAGTCATGGAAAAGCTGGGATTCTCACGGTTCTTCTACACAGCCGATTTTAGAGGAACAAGTAGAAGTTAATTGCTGAGTCATGCTTTTTGTGGCATCTAAGTCGAATATGCAACAGTCGAGAGGATTTGCATGATGCGACAAAGTGAATAGATAGGCAGCATGTAAGATGCCTAGTTAAGTCATGCATGAAATTTTCTGGGTTGTGGTGGTATTGTGCACCAGAGATGGAAGGGAAGCTGGGAATTTTAGTGCTGTTCACTCGAACTTCATGCATGTTTAGTTTTAGGGCATAATTTTGGCATTGTAGATTGTATATCAACAAAATAATACCATTTGATTGTTATTCAAAAGAATTCTACAAAAGCAAATTCATGTTTGCCAGTGCTTCAAGACTTAATTAATTACTAACTGGTTTGCAAACTTATAATGCAATATTCTGTTTGAAACAACCTTGTTTTCTGTACGCTATACATTTTCTACCTCAGAATGCAGAGCTTTTGCTTTCAAGATAAAATATTCTATTTGTTTTTCAAGATTGACATAATTACCATTCTCAAATTGAGAAAAAGTTACCTTCATCTCAAGTTATAGTAAAGTTAAAAGTGTAAAGGAAACAATTATTCTTGAGTAGCATCTTCTCCAACAATAATCCATCAAATTCTTTCCTTTATACGGCCTTCTGCACTTTGCATCTCATTCTTCTTTCTTTCTCAAAGATAGCTTGAACTATTCTTTGAATTATGATAGCTTGTAATGAGAGACTTCATATCATTAACCCCTTAATCAATCTTAATTTAATTCTAATTTTTTATAGTAATATATGCCAGCTTCAACAAAAACTAAGTGTACAGTGTGATAAAGTAAATAAAATACGTTCAAAGAAAAGATTGATGAAGGAATTGATCAACAATATACTTTAACTAGTATCAAAGCAATACTTTGGTTAATTTGGATTATTCTGGTCTTTTCCATGCACTAAATGTTGAATGGAAGTTGCAGTATTATCACAACATAAGCAAACCAAATATTTCGATTAATCAATCTTTGTAACCACTTACATCATTCAATATGGCTGAAGCTCTTGTTTCCATAGCCTTGGAACAGCTGGTCATTCATTCTTCAACGGCGGAGGAGGATAAGCTTGATTGGGGTTCCAAGCAAGAAGTTGAGAAGCTTCAAAGCAATTTCCGAGCAATTCAAGCTGTGCTGGCTGATGCTGAGAACCGCCAGTGAAGGAGAACGTGTGAGAGATTGGTTAGACAAGCTCAAAGACGTGTCTATGACTAGATGATGTCTTGGACGAGTGGAACACAAATTTTCTAGAATTACAAATTAAAAGAGCTAAACATGCTTCTAAGCCTCTGAAAAAGGTATGTTCCTCGTTCTCCGTTGTCTCAGTTGTAAGACACTCGTTAGCATATTGAAATGCTGTCAATATAAAAGGTCTTCGTAGAAAACTAGATATATTGTACTGAGAAAGAGAGTTTCCATTTTAGATCAACACTCAGGGTAGCAAAGAAGTAGAACGACCAATGACAACCTCTTTTATGATTAAAAGAGGTTCGGAAGAGATAATGATAAGATTAGCATTTGTTCTCTTGAGTCAAAGTCAGCAACAAGTCCTCCCCATAATCTCTATAATAGGGATGGGAGGAATCGGCAAGACAACTCTTGCTCGACTAGTTTTTAATGATGATAAGGTGAATACCCATTTTGATAAAAAAATATGGGGTTGTGTTTCTGAGCCTTTTGATGAGCTTGAATTGCAAAAATCTCCACAAAAAAGTCCACACAATTAGTTGAATTAGAAACTGTAATGCAAAACAAGGTCAACAAATTGAAGGAAAGAAGTTTCTTCTTCTTAGATGATGTATGGACGAGAATCGTATGAAATTGGGAAATTTAAAACATACTCTCAGTGGGATCTCTAGAAAGAAAGTAAATTTTAGTAACCACACGTAAGAGAATGCTGCAAATGCATTGGGACCACCAACAAAATCTTATTAGGAATATTGTCGCGAGGATGATGTTGGTCTTTGTTTAGTCAACTTGCACTTTTTGAAACAACCAATAAGAGTTTGAAGAAATCGGTCGAAAAAATTGTTAAAAAGTGTAAAGGTTTGCCTCTTGCTGTAAAGACTTTAGGTAGTCTTTTGCGCGTTTAAAAGAGAATTTAAAGAATGGGAAAATGTCTTAGAGAGTGAAATTGGAATTAGAAGAGGTAGAACAAGAGGTTTTCGACCTCTACTATTAAGTTATTATGACTTATCCTACTTGAAAAAATGTTTCTCATATTGTGCTATGTTTTCAAAGGATTTGAGATAGAGAGAAGAACACTAATTAAGTTATGGATGGCCACAGGTTATTTAAAGTCAAAAGACTAAAAAAAGATAGGAGTAGTTGGGGAAGAGTATTTCAAATCTTGGCAAGCGTTCTTTCTTTCAAGATTTGAAAAAGAGGAATCCAATATGATGTATTTTTTGCAAGATGCATGATATAGTACATGATTTTGCTCAATTTCTTACCCAAAATGAATGTTATACAATAGAGGTGATGGTAGAGGAGAAATTGAACTAGAATCTTCTCATGATAAGTTAGACATTTAATGATAAAGATTCAAGGAGGGGCTCATTTCCTAGCTCATTTATACCAAAATACTTTTCTACGTAGCTTGTGGTTGATGTAATTATGTACTGACCCTAAGATAGTTTTGTCCAAATTAATTGATCCATTTACATGTCTAAGGTCATTATCTTTGAGACAGTGCAAATTGAAGAAATTCCTGTAGAAATAAAAAAATTAATACACTGAGGTACCTTGATTTGTCGTGAATAAAAACATAAAAGAATTGCTGAGACATTGGGTGGGTATATAATCTACAAACCTTAGACATAAGATATTGTGAAAATATCAAAAAACTGCCTCAAGGGATGGAAACTTAATAACTTGAGACATTTGTTAAATTGGAGGACTGATAGTATAAGTTACATGCCAAAAAGTTTGGAGAGATTAACTGGTCTTCGAACATTAGAAGATTGTTATAAGTGAGGGCAATTATGGTAGTGAAGAATGTCCTGTTGAATGTCTAAAAAACTTCAAACACCTTCGAGATTTGGAATAAAAGGGTTGGAAATTTGAGAGATGTGGCTGAGGTTAAGGAATAGAATTAAACAATAAGAAAAACTTGCGTGAGTTGTACGTAGACTTTGAGGGGAGGATGAATGATGAGCAAATCAACAACTTCTCGAGGAGTTGCAAACCACTCAAATTTAGAGATGTTATGGTACGAAATTACCGTGGCAATACTATTTCTCCTAATTGGATGATGTCATGACCAAATTGAGTAGGTTAATTATTTGGATTGTGTAAATTTGAGCATTCCTCATGGGTAAGTTTCACTCTTGAAATTCTTTTGATGGAGAATAAAGAGTGTGAAAAGAGTGGGTAATGAGTTTTTGGGAATAGAGAGTGATGCCACGCCGTCATCTCATCAATTATTGCGTTCCCAAACTAAAATTCTTATGCTTCTCGCATGAAAGAGGGAGGAGTGGAATTACGGAGTACAAAGAGAGGAGATGAAGATATTGCAGTCATGCCATCTCTTAGACCTTGGAACTACGCTGCCCCAAATTGAAGTCTCTACCAAACCTTCATCAGATGACAGCGTTGAAGAGGAAATAGATGATTGTCCTCTCTTCAAAGAACAGAGAACCCGTAGCTGATCGTCATCTTCCTTGATTAAGTTCTCTAAAATTGTCAACTTCAACACTGTTTTTCTTCAAAACACAGGTAATTTCCTCTCTTTTCCCTTTTAATTTATTTGTTTTGAATCAGAAATATTTGTTATGTTCCCGAAAGAAACTTGAGTGAATCGATAACTCATCATATCTCCTCCAGTTTTGACCAACGTCTCTCAAGTCTTAACTTAACTTTGATTCTGCAAAGGGACATCCTTTGAATTCCCAATCCACAGGTCATTTCTTCCTTACAGGCAAAACCTCGGTTTTGACAAATCTCTCAACTCCTAGATTCAATTTTTCTTGTGAAAGAGGTGCGAATATCCTGCACCATGCAGTTTTAAGCAATTCTATGATTTGTTGTTGGACTGAATTGGAATGTAATCTGGCCATAGGAATTCTTATATAATCTTGAATCTGGACCCTTTATCATCTCTTTTGCTAATTAGCATCACTTTCTATCGGAAAACTAACCATTTCTCCATAGCACATCTAGTTTCTTTTCATTTTATTTATTTTTTAAAATTTATTCGAAATTAATCCTCCTATGACTTGTACTGTAATCTTGAAATGTATAGTTAGTTTGTCATTCAACATGTTCTGTTTCTTCTCTGGGTTTTGCTTGGTATGTAAATGTAGTTGTGCTCTTTTTTTTTCTAATTGTTATTTTTAAAATAATCTGGAAAATGAAATATTGTTAGAAAAAATCAATGGAAGTCTATAGTTGCATATGGTGATCAAAGCATGAGTAAACTGAGTGAACTGGATTACTCGAATCATGATGCAAATAAAGAAATAAGACATTGAGCATACTATGTTACGGGATGGCAGGAACAATGCTGAAACATGTTTTATATTATTAAATCTCAATTATTAGATATATTTTGTTAGAAGTTGATACTCAATGTTACAAGTGTCGGGATTCTCTTTAAATTGGGGTTAGTAGGCCGTAAAAGATGGCAACACAGCTGTCTCTTAGTGAATGGTCTCGGTATGAATAATTACTTCATAGCTTATATACTCCTTCTTCATGATTATTAAAATTAAGCCGGTCTTGAAGTTTTCATTTATGTTATGTATGAGTTATTTTGTGCTAGTTGCGTTCATGTTGTACAAGTGGTAATGCATTCACAACATATTGACCCATATTCTGTATCTGAGTTTCAGTGTTAACATTTATAATTATATGTGCATCCTTGAAAGTTTTTCCTTTGTGATGTTCTTTGCCGTGACAGATAAGAACGTGAAAGTGAGCAGTGTTTCATTAGGTGCATCTGAGCAAGATATACAGGAGTTTTTCCTTTTCTGGGGAAATTGAACATGTTGAGATGCACAGGTTTGTTATATAGAAATCTAAGTTTGTTACCGTCCTTATCTTTTATTTTTCTGTGGTTGTTTGGAAATAGAGAAAATGTGAAATTTGAAATGATTAACTCTTTCTGAGAATATTTTGGATATAGTTATAGGAAGAAAGAATACTATATATCTTATATTATTTGATTATTTTTTTTCTTTCAGTGGCAATGAGTGGTCTCAAATTGCATATGTTGTCTTCAAGGATCCCAAGGGGGTAGAGACAGCAGTTCTTCTTTTGGTGGATTTTGACTTCTTCTTCAGTAACATCCCCTGCACTATTACGGAATTTTTAACTTATAATTGGTCTTACATCCAATTTTCAAGAGAATTTTGATGATTATTACGTCATTTTCATAATGTGACTTTGTGTGTTCTTTTAAGCAATTTTTTTTTTTTCAAGCTGCAGCAACCAGGAAATCCTGCACTGGAGACATCTTTTGAAGGAAGTGCGAATATCCGGCACTACTGTAGTTTGAGCAATTGTAATGTTTGTTGTTGGATCTGAATTGGATTAGGTAATCTAGCTATAGCAATTCATATAATATTGAATCTGGGGCATTTTATCAACTCTTTTTTGTCCATATTAGCATCACTTTCTACCAGAAAACCAAACCATTTCTCCATAGCACATCCTCGTTTCTTTCATCTATCAGTGCAGCGATTTCTCTTTAGCTCTTGTTGTGGGAATGCAAACCAACAGTTTTCGTATTTTTTATAACATTCTGACTAGCATCATTAAATGGGCTTTTTTAGCTTGATTTGGATGTCAGCTCATGGTTTTTGATGCTGGAACCTTAGCTACGCAGGAATGGTGCCATTCATGATAAACCAAAAATAGCTTTTTCCAGCAATTGAATTCAGAAATGCTGCTGTAGAGATTTGGAATAATTTAAAATATGCTATGAACTAGCAGCACACTACATTGAAATTTAATTCCAAGTAGCATTCTCTCATTAAATAACTCTTCGTTTGCACAAAAGTTTTCCAAATCTTTGTCCATACAACTACTGAAAAAAAGCTGAGTTCCATTACAGCATATTACGTTTCTTTGATCGTGGTGTCATCATTCCTTCATTATTATCCTTTGAAATTATCTCATGCTATGTTCTATTTTCGGGTCTCATGCAAGATCTTTAGCTTCTTTCTTCAATTAATTACTTGATAAGCATGTTTACACACTAACTAGTTAGTTTCATGAATTATAAATTTAGTCATAAACAACTCCTAAATCACAGTAGTGGACCAACCTAAAAAGAGAATTTAATTTTTTTTGGAAAGCAATTAGAACAGAGCATTTCGCCAGATCAATTTGAGATGATAAACATTTTATAATTAGACTAAATTTATTGCTGACATTCAGCAGATTATGATAGCTATAGCTTCTCCTTTCCCAGTAAGCAGAATTCTTATGTTGATGATGGTTTGTTCCAGATATCTTATGGTTATAAGTAACTGGAAGACATTTTTCCTATATTGAAACTTTTTTGATATCTCACACTTGATGCAGTAAAGCAAGTTAACATGTAATGATTTTCTTCAAGAACAATGTCAAGCATAGTGTACCACACAAGCTTGGTAGAATTAGCTCCTTTTCCTTTTATCTACACAATGACATCTGCAAAAGGTACTTTCTTCCCATTTGTTTCTGGTTTTGCTGTCCTTTGTAATCTAAGCAACAATCTTTAATCTGGAAAACAAAAAGTGTTTGTTCTGAAGACTTATCCAGTCACTTTTTGGTTGTCATTTATGGACTATTTTAGTTTGACTACATTGATGTTGTATGTATGTCATCAAGAAGTTTGATGTATATTGAAGATAAGATAACAATCACATTTATAGAGAAAACAAGGCATCTCAGTATTAATTGTGTGGTGATTAATATTTGCGAAGAGGGATCATTAACTTACATATATTGCTTAAATTGTGTCATGAAACCAAGAGGTGGTTGAATATTGGCTCAAATTTGGCAAATTCTCACTAAAGACATGTTTGTTTTTCCTCTTTATAAGCTTATGCAATGGGCTTATTTTAGTGGAGAAAGCATAGTCTCTACAGGATTGATTGTGGCTCGAGAGTGGAGAAATGCATAGTCTCTATAGGATGATTGTCGCTCGAGAGTGGATTTATTTGGGACTCTAATCTATTGCACAGGGGTGTGCCTTGTAAATATGTTTTACTTGGTATAGTGAAACCAGCGTCCTTAGATATATGACCGAACCACATAAAACATTCTCTCTTGTCTTTCTTTATGTTTGATATGTGTTATATTGTGTTTGATTTTTATCTTTTAATATCAACCTGTTTCTTAGTAACACTTCTAAACTAGTTTCCCCAAGGCAACATTCATGAATTGTACACTGAGTTCTTTTGCAACAGAAGTTGTCATGATTAAGAAAATGTCAAGGTTGGAGTACAATGAATCTCCTTTGCGTCATTAAAAATATGTACTATGGAATTAGGGAGGATATGGTAATAATACTTACTAATAATTGATTTAAACATTATCAAGCAATATGTGACACTTTGAAAATTCACCCTTCATTTAGGGAATTTCTTTCTAATCCAGTTGAATATAACATTATTTGTAGAGTCTGCATGCTGCTGAGAATGGCCTTTGAACATGATGAGTAGAGTGATGACCAGAATCAGGGGAAATAGTTGCTTATTTATGTGACAGAGAGGGTTTTGGTAGAATTGCTGATGTCTTGTGTGGGAAGTTTCCCAGATCACAATCATTGTTCCTGTGGAGTGTCAAATTGGCTTAAAGGTTTCACTGCTGTTGCCATTAATAGCAACTGAAGGATTAATCTTCACAGGTATGCTTTATCATATATTTAGGTGTGGTTCCGTAGTGGGCTAAGCCGTTCTCTTTCTCTGATTGTTGCAACTGCAGGCTATAGATTAAATTAGGACAGCGCAAACGGGCATGCAATCAACAAGTTATCAATGCATCTTGACCTGAATTTCACATCTTGAGTTATAGCTAGAGCTGTCTGAATGGGCATAATGTATCCCGTCTCAAAACTCAGCTAGCTGCTTGACATTGGCTTTTTGATCTCTGTTTCTGAATCTTCTTCTGGACAGCATATCAAATGCAAACGACAACAGTTGAGCATATAGATGGAGAATCCATATCAAAGGAAAACGGTTACTCGTGGCAAGAATAAGTGCAATTAAGTCCTCGATGAAAAAAGGTACCTCCTGTCACTCTATCGCATTCATTGATGAATGGTGCGTTTATATATTATATATCCTAAAGCTGTTTAAAGCAATTAGTTTTCCCTATTTCATGATTGAAAACTTTACAACATGGGGGTTGGGCTTTACTTTGTTCCTCCCTTATGGGGTGTGAAGCCCAATATATCAAGCTCAAAATGGTTTGCAAATTGAAACCCCAACTTAACTTCATCTTCTTCTTCTTCACGTAGCAGCCAAAAACGAGAGAGAGGGAGAGTGTGTTTGTCTCCAACTGCTGTCCCTTCTATGCCAGCCACCATCTAGATTCTTTCCATCACTGTATATGTTTGTGAGAGAGGCAAAAACAAAGAGAAACGGAGAGGAAGTATGATTGTACTCTAGTTTGCAATAGAGAAGACTTTGTATTCCCCTTTTGATAATAGTGAAAGACTTTAATGGACTACGGTCCCGTGGTTTTTACTCCTCACATCGGGGAGGTTTTCCACGTAAAAATTTGGGTGCCATTGATCTTTAATTTTTGCATATATTTGTAGCTTTGATTATTTACTCAAGAAAAAAAAAGGAATTGTTGGAAGATAGATTCCTCTTTAGTTACGCAAAGTGAACGGACATTAAATTGAAATTTCTTGCTTCTTTTGGGTTGATAAACACTTCGATAAAGAAAGTTGTAGACACCAATGAATTAATCTCCTTGGAATTTTAAGTTGAATTGAAGTTGAAACTTTCCGTTGTTTGGATACCAGCTCTAAAGCTCTTACAAATGGGTTTTCGTTGATTTTTCTTCTCAATTTTAGAAATTCCTTCATTCATTCTGATCCCACTTACTCCTCCTATGAGACAGAGAAGAAACAGGGGATCTAAAAAAAAAAAATCATTAGATCTTCTAGAGATATCAAAGAAAATGAATGCTCTCATCCAGCCAAATATTAATAATGCAATTTAAATGATGAGTATGATCAAATATATAAATTTGATTGAACGAACAATCCACAACCATCTTCGTAACATTCTGTTTGAAACAAGCATTCTTGCAGAGAACATATATATATATATAAATATTGCTTAAAATTATTTAAGTTAAAAAAAATTATTATTATTATTCAACTAATTTCAAGCTTTACGATTGTAATGCAATATTTTTAGTCCAAATGTTATTACAAACTAATTTGCCAGCTTTATAGATTGTAGTGCAATATTGTGTTTGAACAACTTTGTTCTATAGTAGTTCTTCAAAGCCATGTTTTTTCAATCTCAGGATAGAAAAAGAAATGAGATTTGCTTTTTATATTATATAATTGCCATTCTCAAAATTTTCTTAAAGTTACTTCCATGTATAAGTCATTGTAAAGCTAAAGGCGTAAAGGAAACCAGCCGGTTGTTTGTTTTATTAATTTGAGTGTATTTGATTTTTGAAAATTGAGTTGAGTTATTATTACAGGTGTTTGGTAAGATTATTTTTAATTCCATATATTTGTTAATAGTTAAACATCCTTTACAATAAAATTTTTTAAAATTAACAAAACACCTTCATCCATCCATTAACTGTTGGTAGACGGCCATTACCGTCGAAAGGTGGTCAGAAGTTGTTAGAATGGTGCATGACCGGTTGGTTGGGGGTGTTTAGTAAGTTAACAAACCTAGTTGTTTAACAAATTAAATATTTTGAGTTGAATAAAATATGATTGAATTTGAGAATAGTAAAACAAACATGTATTTTGAAATGATAGATAGGAATAAAGAAACAACATAGCATATTCTTTGAGTAAAGATCATCTCTCCAACAAAAATCATTCAATTCTTTCCTTTAAATGGCTTACAATTTGCATCACATTCCTCATTCTTCAAGAGTAGCTTGTTGAAAGTTTAATTCATAAAATGAATGGAGTATTTGGATAGGATTTTAGGGATAGTATTGGATAGTTGGATAGGGTTATGATTACGAGAATAAGATTGCAGAATATGTGTTGGTAGAGATTTTAACCTTGAAATTGTATTGAATTTGATTAAAGTGGGAAATGTCAAGGAAGAATAATGAAAAAGCTGAGGAAAATAAAGCCAACGGTCAAATGAAAGTCAGAAAACTGTCAGGAAAAAAATATTTGCAGATTGGATTGTGCAAATAATAAAACAAACATTATTTGAAAAATCAAATCCATATGGATAATATATTAACCAAACCAAAACCTTAACTATTCTTGA